AGGTATGGGGGTTTATTTGTAGGTATGGGGGTATATTTGAAGGTATGGGGTATATTTGTAGGTATGCCGGGTATATTTGTGGGTATAAGGTATATAGTAGGTATAGGGTATATTTGTGGTATAGAGGCACGTGACTAGGTTATTTTCTCCCTATAAATATAAGGCGGTGTTTGAATATCTTCCATTCGAGCACTATGGAGTTTACATGTTTCTGTGGAAAAGATGCCAAATCATTTATTTGTAAAAATGGTGATATCATTTTTACTTGTGGAACAGATGTTGATTTCAAGAAAATGAGGGAAGCTTTGATGATGAAAGCAAGTGAAGAAAAAGAGGAAGCTATCCAAAAACTAGATCTTGGGTGCAACATGAGAATGAAGGGAGAGGATGTCCATCTATCGCAAAAAGATAAGCCGCTCGAAAGACAGCATCTTCCAAAGTGCGAACATAACCTCATGGCAAGAGTTGGCATCAGTTCTTCAGATCAAAACAAGGGCAGGATCTATTTTTCTTGTAATGTCAAAGTTCCTGATCTCCCATGCTCTTTCTTTTAATGGTTTGATAAAAGTAATAAACCAGAACATTCCAGTGGAAAACACTCCAACCAATCCAAACTGAAGCGCAAGAAAGAAAAAGCAAAAATCTCTAAAAAACTAAAAAAGAGACGATTTGAACATTTACTTGACATGTAATTTTTTATTAAAACAAGCATTTAAAACACAATTGTCAAACTTGAGTTATTTGTTGAAATAAATGGTTCAAACAACATTCTGATTTATATTTTTTCTTAAAGATTCTTGACCAAGTTTTTTAAAAAAGTATCAAGTGACCTTTTATCAGTTCAACATATTTTGTATGCAAGCCTTTTGTTTTGAAAGTAGGTATGTGTTAATTCCCAGAAGGGACTTAATGAATTCAACATATTTTGTATGCAAGGCTTTTGTTTTGAAAGTAGGTATGCGTTAAATTCCCAGAAGGGACTTAATGAGTTCAAAGTTCACATAAGGGGCACAGTGCCTTCCCATTGTGCTTAAATCCCAAAGGAACGAGAACAATGGATCCTTTGTTTTTGGAAATGGTATATAAACCTGAGTCCCCCATCACTTTTTATTACCATCATGGATTTTTCACAATTAACGGATTTGACGAGCTTTGAGCAGTTTATTTCCAACAATGTTATTCCAAGTGAATTGGTTCCTGCTGCTGTAGATCGTTTGATGGAATTGACATTAACACCTGAGGTTCGTAAGCTACTCCTTCTTGTTAGTATTTATATCATTCAAGAAATTAATTTTTTTATATATATATTCTAGATTGCTCCTCAGCTTCCAACTAATAATGAATCTCAAGAAATTGTGGAAGAGTTTTTGACTTCTTGTTTGGATGAAGAAAATAAGTCACACCAAGAAGTTTCCAAGTCATTGGAGCAAAGCTTTATGGAATCGATTTGGCACAATTTGAACAACGTCTTAATGAACCCGAACCATCAAGTGCTCGTGAAAGTCAAGAAATGGTGGAAGAGTTTTTAACCTCGTGTGCAGAACAAGAGAATTTCTTAAATGAGACCTTTGATGTTCCTATTGATCAGGACTTCGTGGACTCCTTACTCCAAACCTCGAACTCCGTGGCACCTCAAATGACAGAACAAGTTCCAGATGTCGATCCTTTGCAGCTCGTTCCAGAGACATCGGAGGCGATCCCACAACAAATCTTCACAGAGCCTGAAAACATGAATTCTCCACAACCGTTCAATGATGAAATTTCATGTATTGACTCCACCGAAATCATCACCGTTGAGGAAGAGCGCTTTCAAGCAGTACACAATATTCCAGAACAAGTTGGTCGAGGGGCAAAGAGAGCCTTGGAAGAGGTTCAAGAAAATAACCCCCCGAAAAAGAAATTCCGCTGTTCTAAATGTGAGAAAGATTTCGCTTCGACGTGTGACTTGAAACGTCACGAGGAAAGTCACTTTGAAGCAGCGCACAATATTCCAGAACAAGTTGGTCAAGGGAAAAAGAGAGCCTTGGAAGAGGCTCAAGAAAATAACCCTCCGAAAAAGAAATTCCGTTGTTCTAAATGTGAGAAAGAGTTTGCTGCGAAGTTTACCTTGAATCGTCACGAGAAAATTCACTCTGAAAAGAAGAATTTTGAATGTTCCTACTGCCCAATGAAGTTCCATCGAAAGTCTAACAAGGAGGCTCATGAAAGTCGTATCCACTCTCAACAACGCAAATGCAGGAAGTGTGGTGAGGAGTTTAATGATAAGAAAGCCTATATAATCAACATATCAAGCATGCTCACAGGGGAGCAAAACTCCAAGAGGCTTCCAATAATAACTCAGGTATTGAATATTTGTTGTGAAAATTCTACAGTTTATGTTATTTTTGTTTTAAATAATCAATAATAATAATTCTGACCTTTTCTCTAGAACAGTCAAGTACTAAACCGAATTCAAAAAGACAAAAAAGTCTTCCTTCGAGAACTCCTTTTCCTGTACATGAAGATCCTCGTAATATGGATGTCCTGCCAGTAGAAACTCGAGGTGATTCCGAAGTCTACCGCCAGAACTGGAACCATATCCGAACCCGATTCAGTCGTGGAAATCGTCTTGCCGATACCTATAACTTTCGCCTCTACTCTCTTCGTCCTGATGAGATGTTACACCACTTAGATGATATTTTCAACGACCAGAATTCAGTCTTCAAAATCAATGTTGCGTTTGGATTCATTTTAAGAAACAACGAAACCAACGAACTTCAATACTACTACACTTCAAGAAACAACAACCAAGTGTTTCATCAACCCTTTATTATTGCCACAAGAGCCGATTTGGAAAACGTACGCGAGGCTTTAAAGAATCTTGATGTTCTTAGCTTCGACCCAACTCCAAGTGGATTGTAGACTTGATCACCAACATGACTTCGTCACTAAACTTCGAGGGCATCCCATTGGAAGAGGACGATTCCTTCCCCACTACATTGTAGAAAATCGAGGAATCGATCCTTTGGATTGGAATCGTAAAACGGGAAGACAATATGATGATAATTTGTGCTTCTTTCGAGCATTGGCACTCCTCCRTGGCTTTCACACCAAGAATTTGGAAACAGAAACCAAGAAATGTTTTCAAAGGTAAAGATTTAATTTTGTCAAATGATTTGCTTTGGCACATTTTGRTTACTTTAATTTATTTTCAATAACTTTCATACACTAATTATTTTTTTTGTTTTCTTATGCAGATTTTGTCCTGGTCAGTCATGCAGTGAGTTTGAAGGCGTCACGCTGGATGAACTGCCGCAGCTAGAAAACTTATTTGAAATCAACATTTTTGTTTATTCCTTGGAACCTTTGGAGAATGGCAAGACRGTAGCCCATCCTGTTCATCGTTCCTGTGAGAAATATGGCACCAACCTCTACCTSAACTTATACAAGAACCACTTCTCYTTYATCAAAAGTATGGCCAAGTATTCTAAATCGTTTGCCTGTTCTCGCTGCGGGAAGCTCTGGAAGAACCAGTTTCGGCTCAATCGTCACGAGCGAACCTGCGAAGCCAAAGTGAGATACAAGTTTCCCGGTGGAGTGTTCAAAAACCCCAAAACCATCTTCGAGCTGCTAGAAGAAGAAGCCATCACCATCGAAGAACATTTAAAATTCTTCCCTTTCCATGCCACCTTTGACTTTGAATGCCTCTTTGACAAGGAAAGTCTGCCCAGCGACAGTGCCAAAGTTCACTGGGAAGCCAAACATGTTCCTCTAAGTGTCAGTATCTGCTCCAATGTGCCTGATTTCGCCAAACCCGT